GTCTTTCCCTCAATCACTCTCTCTCTCTCTCTCTGTCAGCCTCTGATCTTATTTTGTTTTATTTCTCCTTTTATATTCTGATTTATTTATTTATTTTTATTTTTTCTTTTATGTTCTAATTTTATTTTATTTTTTCTCTTAGCTTTTATTTTTTCTTTTATATTCTGATTTTTTTTCTTTTCTATTACTTGAGTATATAATTTTAATAATGTAAGTCTGTTAATTTTATTATAGGAACAAATTTCTAATTCTGAAACAATGGCTATGGGCGGTAGTTTTAATGATGTACCTGATGATGATTTTAATGAGAACAAACCATTGTGGAAGTATATAACTAAATTAGCAAAACCTGGGGAAGGAGGAGATAGCTTTGACTCACTTGATGATATTGGAATGCTTGGGATAGCTAACCTCTCACTTGATGAACCGGCTATGGAGGCGGTCCTATTTACAGATGAAGGAGAAGATGGAGGTGGTGGTGAAGATGTTGTAATAGTTTCCTCTACTTAAATTCACATTTTCTGATATTTATGGATTTTGTAATAGATGATAGTTATTGGTACATTGGATAATTTTATATTTTGTGGTTTGAACAAACCATTGTGGAAGTATATAACTAAATTAGCAAAACCTGGGGAAGGAGGAGATAGCTTTGACTCACTTGATGATATTGGAATGCTTGGGATAGCTAACCTCTCACTTGATGAACCGGCTATGGAGGCGGTCCTATTTACAGATGAAGGAGAAGATGGAGGTGGTGGTGAAGATGTTGTAATAGTTTCCTCTACTTAAATTCACATTTTCTGATATTTATGGATTTTGTAATAGATGATAGTTATTGGTACATTGGATAATTTTATATTTTGTGGTTTGATTTTCATGCATTTTGTAACAATTGATGGTTGGTAGCTTCAAATGACATGTTATGTATTGATGGAATGCAATTTTATGTTATTTCAATGTTTTTTTAATTATTTTTTAATAATTTTATGACATATAATAAATAAAATTAATTATATATATTGAACGTGTCCCCAGCGTGTCGTGTCCCCCATTTTTTGAAAATTTGCGTGTCGGCGTGTCCGTGTCGTGTCCGTGTCGTGTCGCGTGTCCGTGTCCGTGCTTCATAGCTTATTACACAATTATGAAGAGAGAAAAAAACCTCAAATAGAGATATAATAGTAAATAAATTCAAAGCGGTTTACAAATTAGCAATTAATTAAGCTCTTAAATAAGAGAAGCATACCTTCTTGTTGAAGAGGGGTTGAATGATGGGATCACAATTACTCTCTGAATCTGAAGCAGGCAGAGACGCTTCAGCTTTGGTATTTCCCACAGTGCCAAGTAACTCGGTTGTGGCAGCTCAATTATATTCATAGCTTTGCAGATAGCAGTAAAACTTGGCAGGTTTCTAAGATGCAATTGCTTTAGTTTAGGAAACTCAATTTTATCTGTTGCTATTTCATGCTCTCCTCCTTCACTCCAAACAATAATTTCCATCATATCACAGCGTCCTATGGAAAGGTCCTGCAGTTGCAGTAGATCTCTAGCTATGAAAAGTGAGAACATACTTTCCAGTTTCTCACAATGCCACACATGTACAGACATCAGGTTGCCAAGCCATACAAGTTGGGTGGGAACCTTCCACAAATTTGTCAGTTCAGACAAGAATTCCATTACCAACACTTTCGATGCACTGAAAGCCTTGTTCGGTAGTCGGCATTCATGACTAGCTCCCTTTGAAATTACGTAGACCATGAAGATTCAGAAACTCTAACACAAGGAAAGCACTCTGTGGAACCCCATCTGCTGTATTGATGAGGTATTCCAAATCATATCGTAGGCTCAACTTCATTAAGCATTCAAACCCATCTTTGTCGACCAAATCACACAGAATTTTCAAACCTTTTGTTCTTGAGTTTACATCCAGAATTTCAGTGCCTTTCAACAGCAAATTAAGCCTTGTTTCAATAATGTCACTCACATTTTGAACTTGGAGCTCCAACAGATTTGATAATGAATAACAAGGGTCAAGGATGTAGTCAAAGTCATAGACGCCAACTATATTAAACTTTTTTACCTTCTCAACGACCAAACCTCTCGGCCAGAAGGTAATGTTTATTAGAGCAATATCCAAAGCCGCCAAATTGGACAAGGACACCAGCTCATCGATAATCGCTTTAGCACCTTCTTTGCTTTCTTCAACTTTACAGCACTGTTGAAAGGTGGTTCCAATACAGCTCTTCTAGCTTTAATAAGCTTGACAAAACCCCGGGGTAAATCCTTTCCACTATACATCCCAACAAATCAAGTACCTTCAAGTGAGCAAGGTGACCTATTATTTCCTTTGGCAATTCCTTGATATAAGAGCCAGCAAAGCTCAAATTTCTAGATTCTCTAATGCTCCAATTACAGAGATATCATCATCAATAAGTCGGCAACGAAAAAGTGACAAGGTTCGGAGGTTGATCAAGCATCCAAATGATGTCGGCAATGAGCTGAACATATAGGATAAAGCTAGCACTTTAAGTTCTTTCATTCCTTGGTAGAAACTATCTTGGGTCTCTTGTGCTTTGACCTCCATTCTTTTGTTGAGATCATATGAGATTCGTGGTAATCTAGCATCGCAATCCAGCTGTAGAAGCTTAAGATTTGGAAATTCTAAACTACCAAGAAGCCCATGCATACCATCAAGTTTTAATGAAATTACAGCATAATTTTTTAGTCGAACATTCTCTGGCCAGTCTTCTAGTACTTCGTCACATCTCACCATAAACGAATGTTGCTCGGATGCAATTGATATAGCCACATCACGTATGACATCATACATTTTGACACACTCTTTTTTGAACTATCCAGCAATAGATAGCATTTTTGTAAATCATCAACTATGGAATATAATTGGGCATTATTTTTTTTTTTTTGTATCAACTATGGAATATACCCTGTCTTTTGCTTGGCTCACATTATCAATGTGCTCAAACAACTCTATCCCAATTGCATATCTGACAAGATCTTCGATTGGAATATCAAAATCTTCTGGATATAAGGAACAAAACAAAAGGCATTTCTTAGCTTCCTCACTTTCTAAGTAATTGTAACTCAACTTCAGAGGTTTAAACACCTTTTCACCTACTCTTCAGTGATGTTTTTGACCATAGACTTTCGCATTTGTTCAAGAGCAGAATCCCATGAAGGTATTTTTTTGGATCTAAGAGCCCTCCCAACTGTAACAATAGCAATCGGCAAGCCTCCACATTCCTTCACAACTGCCATTTGTGTCAACTGCAAATCAGTTGGGTGACTTGTACCGTCGTTAGAAATTCCAGCCATCTCCTTGAAAGATTCCATGCTTCTTTTTCACTTAAGACACCAAACCTTGAAATTCTTGTCTGTGTCCATGCCAATGCATACATCTTCACTTCTTGAAGTCATCACAATTTTGCAACCCTTGTAATGATCTCCACATGGAATTCCAATATCATTCAATCCTAGTCTCTTCCAAACATCATCCAATATTACAAGGATTCTTCCTGCCATCAATATTCTTGATCCTAGTTCCCCTGCTCTGGCAAATAAATTGTTTCCCCCAGATAATTCAAAACCCAATATTTTGGCTATCTCACCTTGAATATTAATCAAATCTGGGTTTTGCGACACTACTACCATCACGATTTTATGAAACATCTTCTTTTCTTCCGCTTTCTTGGCAACTTCTTTCACCATAGTTGTTTTACCAACCCCTCCCATCCCACATATCCCAATCACATAAATACTATCTTCTGTCAGTGCCTCCATAACTCCATTCATAATCAATCTTCTAGATTCAAACCCCTTAAAACCTTTAGTGAATGCAAATGTTGTCCCCACAGAAGGTGCAACTGCAGGATAGGACACTCTAGAGAAATCTCCTTCTCCACGTAGCTCTTCCACAATTTGAGTTTTCTTTGTAGCTTTTCTGCTCAAGGAGTATTGTAACTTCAAATTTGGACACCGCCCATTCAGACACCCTTCGTTTGCTTTCAATTCAACCTCGAGGAATTTCTTAGCCTCTTCGTTGAGTTCATTCACTGTTTTCAACCACCGCGCGACATCTGGTGCAATAGTTTCTCTCTTTGTCTCTGCTTCTTCAACTGATTTTTGTACTCCAAATCTTTTATCTTCCAGGTTTTGGACCTGCTTCTCCAGATTCTTAATATTTCTCTCATATGAAAACAAATAACCAAACTGGCGACTGACTGGAGCAACTACATATTCTCCAATCTTCATTACCATGGGAAAAACAAGGTTCAAGATCATTTCTCACCTGTTTCTAATATGCCCCCAACCCCACCCTTCTCAAGTATTTTTTTCTGAGGATTGTGCAATGAAAAATGTAAAACAAGAACAGAACAAAGAGCTTTTGGGACAACAATCAAAATAGAAATGAGGAAAGTGAGCTTTGCAAAATGAAATAGAACAATAAGATATGAATATAGGAAAGGAACACCGAGCAAAATCAAAAAGGGATGCAAAGTTTTTTTTTTTTTTTTTGGGATCGGGGGGGGGGGTTAGATAATAGTTGAACAAAGATTAGGAAATGAACACTGAGCAAAATCAAAAGGGGTACAAAGTTTTTTTTTTGGGGGCAAACAAGGTTGACTATAGAAAAGATAACTTTTTTTACCAAAACAGAAACAGAAAAGAAGAAAGAGAGATTGGTAAAATGAAAACACAACACAGAAAATATTGTTCTGGTAATTGCTCAACACAACAGAGTAATAATAGAGTTGCAGAGGAGGAGACTACAAAGCTTTCTGGGCAAGCAAAATTATAATAAAACTGAAGCGAGAGAACAAAATTATAGTTGAAAATTGTAAATAAAAGTGGAAATGAAGAAAGAAAAACCTTTGAAATATTACTCTCTGGCTCTTGTAGATGAAAAATGCACAAAATAGCAACCAGTTGGCAGGGAAGAGCAAGAACGAGATCGAATTGAATCGAAACAATTAGGGTTTGTGTAGACTGGTTTGACTGAAAAATTGAAGTAATTCCAAGACCAAAGACAATTGTGGCTCTTGAGTATGACGATTAGGGATTATTTTATTAGAGAGGTGGGTTATTACGGTATTACCATTTATTAGGGATAAGTTTATTATGAGTAAGAAGTTAATTTTTTGGTTTTTTAATTTTTTTGGTGGTTCTTTTAGCTAAAAAAAATTGATTTTTTGTGACTTTTTCTGTGTAAAAAAATTAAAAGGCCAAAAAGCTTGCTTTTTTAGTAAATTCCCAAAATACCTAGTCAACTGATTTTTTAAGTTTTTAATTTTTATTTTTTTATTTTAATAATTTTTTTTAAAATATTGTAATTAAATATTTCATATTTTTTAGATTTATTTTAATTCTAGATAAACTTAAAAAGTAAAATATTTTTGAAATTAAAAAAAAAAATAAAGATAAAATATATACTAAATTAATTTTTATATTTTGTATTCGTGAATTTTTTAAAGATTTTTTTTTTACATTTTTATATTTTTTAAATGTGTATAAATTAAGTGAAAGTAAAAGGTCAAAAAATGATTAAAAAATTAAAAATATTCATTAAAAATAAGATGAATTGAAAATTTTTAAAAACTCTGTCTTCGTTTAGCATTGACTTTTTTAGCTGACTTTTTGTGTTGGGACTTTTTTAGCCTGATTTTTTTAGGGGTTATTTGGTTTTTGTGTTGGGCTAAATAATCACAAAAGGACAAAAAAAAAGTCAAAAAATCACAAAAAGCCAAATATCACAAAATAACAAAAAAAAAAAAAAAAATCCTCCATTCCAAAACTAAAAAGCTAAAAAAACCAATCAAGAATACCAAACGAGCCAAAAAGTCTCAGGCTAAAAAAATCAAAAAAGTCAACAAGCTAACTAAAAAAGTCATTGGTTTTTGACTTCTTAAATTTTTTACTTTTTGGTGACTTTTAACTGAAATAACATCTTCCCAAACGAGACTTCATATTCTTCAAATATCCCATGATATAATTAGATTATTTTACATCCCATTTAATTAAGGATGTGATTAGGTGCATAGAATGAAGGTTAGGAAGTTCAAGTGTTTGAACATGTAGCATATTTTGATTTTATAAACTCTGTTGGGAATGTTCAAATTTTATTATATTGTTTTGTCCCATATTGATACTCATATTATTGAGCCTTATAAACCTCCTTGTTTTAGAATGGGCTGGAGATCTACCGTGGGCCTACTTGAGGTGAAGTCTAGAAAGTCCATATATTATAGTTGCGTTGGACTTGAACTAGGCTAGGCACATGTGATGCGTGTGTGTGAAGCATGAAAAAGTATGTGGAATATAATTTATTTCATTTATGTTTCACTGATCAATCACATAATTTATGAAATTAATATTTGAGAGGGTAATTTATAAATAAATTGGGCCGAAATAAGAAAGAGTCTTCTTCGGAAGTTAGGTCGCACAATGGGCCGAGATAAGAGTTGGTGTAGCTCGGTCTTAAAACTAACGAGCTATGGGCCGAGGTGTTTGGGCTTCACAACTTGGACCTTATCCTTGTTAGCTCGGTCTAAATAGCCCAAACCGAGATATAGGCGAAAAAGGACCGAGCTAGGCATTGCATATGGAAGCACCGGATTGAGTATGTTGAGGGGCTAGTGTTAGCTCGGTCATACTGTTATTCTTCCGTGGTAAAGTCATCTCACTTGGCTTGCAGTGATGAGACTCCTAAGAGGACTCTGCTAAGGAGAGTAGAGTCCTACTAGGATTGTGCAAACCATCTCACTTGGTTGGTAGTGAATAAGGTTGATTCCTAGGAGGACTCTTATAAAGAGAGTTGGAATCCTACTGGGATTGTGCCAGACAGAATTTATAAAAGCTCATAGCAGGACCTATGGACAGGTATCACAATTTTGACTCTCAAATACACAGAGTTTTTGTCTATTGTCTATTTGCTGACTTAGGCATTGGAGAGGTATCCGGCACACATCCGCCGGCTAGCTCACGTTTGTATTTTCAGGGAGTAAAGCGACGACGTTTGAGGAGCGCAAACTTGATCAACAGGATTATATGAGAAGATTATTTCGTGCTCGTACAATTAGCGCCGTCTGTGGGAATTTCACAAAGAACAAAACCTCTTGATCAAGTTTTTCTCTCTAGTTGAAAGCAATGGCGCACAATGAGGACTTGTTGCAATCTGCCATTGATGAGCAAACCCCAGAGGAGGGTGGGAGGTGCGAAGGTTTACCTTCTATCCCATCCATGCGGATTTAGAACCCCAGCGACAGAACTCCCGGAGGGACACGAGGGAGAGACAGAGCATTAGCCCTCGTCGCTCACAAAGTCCTGAAAGACAGAGGCGAAGGTTGGATCCTCAAGTTCTGGAGGATCGCGTGAAGGAGCAAGATGAGTTAATAAGGAGGATGGCGGCAGATATGGAGACAATGAAGCGCCGGATAAAGGGAAGATGGGTGGCGACAAGAGAGGGACACAAAGGGAACACGCCCTCTCGCCACTCGGAAGGTCGTAACAGACATACCATGCCATCACAAGCAGAAAGTAAGAGCCTTAGAACAGGCGACACACAATCGAGGACTTCCAGGACTCGTCACTCCAGGTCTGAGAGAACGAGGACTGAAAGGTCATATACGGAGGGAAGCAGCTATTACCCCTTACATACGCACCAGACGACATCTAGGCATACGGAGTTGCCTAGGCCAGCGGACTTACGAACGGTGCTCGAGGAGAGGGCCTGATGGAAGGAAGACACCAATGCTCGCGACCCTCGCAGAGTTTCAGCACTATAGCGATTGACTCTTAGGACACATGGGAGTGTCAAGGTAGGGATGCCAATGTCATGCCTTGCTTTCGAACCAGCGGATAAGGTATTAGCAAGGTTACAGCGCTCATCGTTTGTTCCGGTAATAGAGAACGCACCACTACCTTCAGGCTTCCACCAGCCCAAATTCACTACGTATGAGGGGAAGACAAGCCCCTACATGCACTTAAGCCACTTTCGCCAGGTTATGGCAGTATACCGGCAAAACGAGGCCCTAATGTGTATCCTGTTTCCATCTAGCCTTGGCGACCTAGGTTTAACCTAGTTCGAAAGGCTACCAGAAGGCAGTATCGCCTCATGGGCACAATTGGTAGAGGCATTCGTGACTAGATTCAAAACGAACACCAAGACACCAGTGGAGATTGATCAGCTACTCTCCATTGACATGGACGAAAAGGAGACATTAAGGTCTTACAACAGTCGATATTGGGAGACTTTCAATCAGATTGGAGATTGCCCTACAAATCTCGCCATCGCATAATACAAAAAGGGTCTACCAGTCAGAAACAAATTGAGGGACTTAATTACTATGATGCCAACCCTCACGATGGAGGCCCTAATGGAGAGAGTGCATCAATATATTCGGGTAGAGGAAGATAGCACCCGTGCTAAGGCAAAATCTGGCACAACAGCAATGCCGAATAAAAAGACTACGGCAAAAGTCAACACGGTGGAACATGGCTCAACAGCAACACTAGACAAAAAGACTGTAGCAAAAGTCAACACGGTAGAACAACCAAACAGGAATGGGCGAGGCAGGTGAGCCAACAGAGAGGACTCAGAAAAAAGGAAGTTAAGAGTCCGCACTGCCATCACCACCGTGTTCAATAAACCTATCTACTGGATTCTCAGTGAGATACGAAATGAACCTTTCGTTCGGCGGCCAGCCAAGTTGGGAGAAGCGCAAAGAGGCTATGACGAGAGGTCCCGTTGCACCTTCCATGATGAGAAGGGGCACCGAACTGAAAACTACACACCTTTGAGGCAACATCTGGAAGAGTTAGTAGCTGCTGGTCACCTGGACCAGTATATAGAAAGGGGAACCCAGCCAGCCCCCCAGGACCTCAACGGACTAAACGGGATGCCGGTCGATGGTCCACCCTAAGGCATAATCAATGTTATTCATGGAATCATCGATCCTGAGTGGCTGTGTGAACTCAGGGGGATGATAAAGAAGGTAGAGCACTTGAAAGAGGTGCTAAGTGCACAGCCTACCATCAAAAATGGCAGAACAGAAGCTACGAATGTCATATCCTTCTCAGACAAGGATCTAGCAAGGCTACATTGCCCTCACAATGACGTACTGGTGGTGACTTTGCGTGTCAATAATTTTGACATCAAGTGGATTCTGATTGACCAAAGAAGCTCATGCGAAATAATGTACTACGAGACCTTCAAACAACTGAAATTGGAGGACAAAGACTTGGCTCTTGCGACA